CGAGGGGTGGAGTTTTGCTCGTGAATGTGCGATGGAAAGAAATTATTCAGTAAAAGGAACACCTTACCCAACGTTCCGGAACGTGGAGCGGTAACAAATACAACAAAGATGGACAATTAATCAAAGCATTTTTAAATTTTAAATACCAAACGTAGCATTGTGCGTATTTCTAAAAGTGACTACCAAAATACTGTAAAACTTATCAATTTTGTCTTTAAATGGATCGAATCAAATAGTAATAAATAATATAGTTATGGGGCGACGTTCTTAAAATAAAGTCACGATCCTGCTAATTTTCTTCATGTAATTTCTAATATTCGCACTATATTTATTTAAGAACTTTAAATTACTTGTACTTTTGTTTCACTAAAAACTTGGTTTTCAGTTTCTTCTAGATTTTGGTCTAGGCTTCGTCAACTTCAGAAGTCGTTTTCGTTCGTTGCTAATGTGTTCACAAATTTTTCGATAAGTGGTTGTGGGTAACCACAGAACTAAATATTTCCTTATACTAGTACTTCCCGTTCCTTAACAAATCATATTATGTACCCTGTCATCACCAAATTCTACGAAAAGCATTCTTCTATTTCATCAATAGAGTTAGTCCAAAAATATGAAGGCAAACTAATACATATTTTCTTCAAGTTTCATTTTCTTTTGATTTTTATTTCAAATTGTTGTAAAACTATACAGGATTTCCCAGCGGTTCTGTGACGGAAATTGTTTCACTCTATCTAGTAAAACTCATTTAGAACTCCAATTTTAAATTATTTTCAAATTTATACATTGTTATATGATAAAGGTTACACACGAAAGTAGAATTTTTTAAATGGAAGGACTATATATTTTATGAATTAGTTTCTATATGAAAACAGTAGTTAACGTCATTTAGATAGAATTTCCCTCACCGCTGCAGTACATCAGTTCTTTAAATAAACTATAAAATTAGATTTTTCGAATTTTTTCGCTTCTCAAGCGTATGCTAAGGAAGTATTGTAATCGAGTCCATAGGTTTTCTTATATGTTTTATGGACGTTTCAAGACCCCTAGAGTATGAAAAATAGGTCTTCAGGTATGTACTTATTTTTTTGAGTTTAGATTTGTCGAATTACGATTTTTCGAATATCTAATTCCTTGATTTTTGAATTTCCAATTTTTGATTTGTCCATTTCCCGATATTCGAATTTCCAAATTTTTTACTCCTCAATTTTTCGTTTTTTTAATTTTTTTAATTTTGCAATTTTTTGAATATTCTATTCATGAATTTTTGATTTGCCAATATTTCGAATTTTCAATTTTTTTAATTTCGATTTTAGATTTTTTAATTTGAATCATTGCTTTTGAGTATTTTCGGTTTTTCGATTTTAAAATTTTAGTTTTTTCCAGTTATCGAATATTTTATTCATGGAATTTTCGATTTTTCCATATTTCCATTTTTCTATGTCAAATTTTCCGATTTTCAGTTTTTGCTGATTTGTGATTTTTCGAATATTTGAATCACCGAATTTTAGATTTTGATTTTTCTATATTTCAATTCTTGGATTTTTCAATTTTTCCGCTTTTTGATCTACGACTTTTAGATCTCCGAATTTACATATTTTCAAATTGATCCATCGAGTTTTTCATTTTTCGAAATTCGAATATTCGAATTTTCAATTTGTTTCATTTCGATTTATAGAATTGTCAATTTTTCCATTTTTCAACTTTCCGATTTTTCGAAATCTCGATTTTCGAATTATCCATTCTTCGGTTTTTCGATTTTTCATTATTTCGAATTTTTGGTTTTTCGATTTTAGATTTTTCAATTTGAATCGTTGCTTTTGAGTATTTTCGGTTTTTCGATTTTAAAATTTTAGTTTTTTCCAGTTTTCGAATATTTTATTCATGGAATTTTCGACTTTTTCATATTTCCAATTTTCCAATTTTCAGTTTTTCCGATTTTTAATTTTTCGAATAATTGAATCACCTAATTTTAGATTTTGATTTTTCTATATTTCGATTCTTGGATTTTTCAATTTTTCCGTTTATTGATCTTCGTTTTTCGATTTTTAGGTCTTCGAATTTACGTCTTTTCGAATTGATTCATGGAGTTCTTGATTTTTCAATATTCGAATTTTCAATTTGTTTAATTTCGATTTATAGATTTGTCAATTTTTCCATTTTTCAACTTTCCGATTTTTCGAAATCTCGATTTTCGAATTATCCATTCTTGGGTTTTTCGATTTTTCATTATTTCGAATTTTTGGCTTTTCGATTTTAGATTTTTCAATTTGAATCGTTGCTTTTGAGTATTTTCGGTTTTTCGATTTTAAAATTATAGTTTTTTCCAGTTTTCGAATATTTTATTCATGGAATTTTCGATTTTTCCACACTTCAAATTTTCCAATTTTCAGTTTTTCCGTTTATTGATCTTCGTTTTTCGTTTTTAAATCTTCGAATTTACGTCTTTTCGAATTGATTCATCGAGTTCTTGATTTTTCAATATTCGAATTTTCAATTTGTTTAATTTCGATTAATAGAATTGTCAATTTTTCCATTTTTCGTCTTTCCGATTTTTCGAAATCTCAACTTTCGAATTATCCATTCTTCGGCTTTTCGATTTTTCAATTTGAATCGTTGCTTTTGAGTATTTTCGGTTTTTCGATTTTAAAATTTTAGTTTCTTCCAGTTTTCGAATATTTTATTCATGGAATTTTCGATTTTTCTATATTTCCAATTTTCCAATTTTCAGTTTTTCCGATTTTTAATTTTTCGAATAATTGAATCACCTAATTTTAGATTTTGATTTTTATATATTTCGATTCTTGGATTTTTCAATTTTTCCGTTTATTGATCTTCGTTTTTCGATTTTTAGATTTTCGAATTTACGTCTTTTCGAATTGATTCATCGAGATTTTGGTTTTTCGATATTCGAATTTTCAATTTGTTTCCTTTTCGATTTCTCGATTTTACAATTTCTTAATTCTTCGATTTTTAAAATTTTTGATTTATGACTTTCCGAATCTTCGATTTTTTAATTTTTCCATTCGTCAGTTTTTAGACTTCCACTTTTTTACGTTTCAATCTTTGATTTTTCCATTCTTCAGTTTTTAGCTTTTGCAATCTTTACATTTTTCAGTTTTTACACTTTTCAATTTTTTTTACTTTTTGATTTGTCGAATTTTCAATTCTTGCAATCCACAGTTTTTCGATTACAATTTTTTTTTACTTTTCAATTTTTTGATTTCTCGAGTTTCCCATTTTTCCAATTTTCCATATTTTGATATAAGAATTTTCAATATTTTTACTTTTTGAATTTTCAATTTACGATTTTTTGACTTTTCAGAAGATGTTTCCATTTTTTCGATTTTCGAACTTTCCATATTTTTATTTTCGGTTTTTTCATTTTTCGCTTTTCCGGAAGATTTTTCTATTTCTTCGATTTTTAATTTATTCGATTTTCAGTTTATCCATTTTTCGAGTTTCGACTTTTCGGAGTTGTTTTTTTTTACTTTATAGAGGTGATCACAAAACAAAAATCGCAAAATCAAATTTTATAATTTTTCAAATAAGCGGGATTTATTGGGGTTTAGGGTGAGGAAAGTACTGTATTCCCAAAGTTTTGGGAAAATGGGGTAATTGTTTTATACATTCATTTTTTTAGTTATCCTGTACATGAAAAAAAAAATAATGCAGCGATAAACCACAAACATAGACTCATAATATTTTGCAGCAAAATTTTGAGATGACATCACGTTTTTGGAAAGGATAAACAGATGCAGTTTGATTAACGATTTACCATGCTTACAACAACCTTAAACCGTTTGTAAAATTTCCATTTTACGGTTTCAAAGTTAAATAGCAAAATGTTGTTACACAATTTCGATGTTTGTCCAAAGATCTAGATGTCTAGGATAAAAAAATGAAGGCGGATTCATAAACCACAAATATAAAAGTATGTCAGTTTATAAAATTTAACTAACTTTTACTAACCAAAATTTTGGGATGATGTCATCAAATTGGTTACGTTTTATCATCTACACGAGTTGCTAAAATAAATATAAAATTTCATAACGATGAGTTCATGTAGCTTAGATTCGCCATTTTTAACGATCGAAGATTGCAATTTTTAAAACTTTAGTTAACTTGCTTTAATATACGTATGAAAAATTGAGCAAGATTTAAAATTTATACAAGGTGATTAAATTATATCTAATCATTGTTAAAAAAATGTGTCTAAAGATATGTTCATATATCATTTTACACGGTATAAACTGTTCTAGTTACGAAATACAAAGTTTCTGGTTGCTTCTTTTGATATATATATTTCTTTCAGTGTTCCGAATGCTACAGCTTCCTCATGATTTAAATTTCGACGTATCTTTTTAAGTCTAATTAGTCTTGTTTGACACGTTCCAAGTTTCCATTTTAACCTAATATATAGTTCTTCCACAAATTATATAAGATCAATTTGTAAAATTAGCCCAGCTTAACAAACGTAGGTCCTCCGCTACCGTACTCCAATTGACCTTTCTACTTTTAAAGCCCGCTCCTAATGGATTAAAGTAACGACTCATCTACCAAAACGCGCTCTAATTTGAAACAAATCTTCCCATTTCTTCACTTCCATAAACCCTCCCCGTAATCTCACTAATAAAAAAGCAATCCAATTAAAAAGACAAAAAGACCAAACCGTCCACACACGTAACCCCCGCCCTTATCGCAAAATCAAGCAGCACTTGGCCATTCGCACGCCTGCAAACAACCGATCGCCGCCACCTCAAAAACCCGTATTTGCATAAGCCGCCTCATCAATCACGCTCCAGAAACCGTGCGGTAGTCGCTTGATATGCAAAACACCTCGTCTTAAATCCACAATAGCGACAAGTTTCGAGTGCACGAGTTGGTAATCTCTGGTACGTTGTAATATCGCACCATCATCACGGCCGTGGGGTTCGATAGGAACGAGGCAGTTGTGTTTCGGCTTTAATGTTTCTCTGGATTAATCACGGCCATTGTTCCAGGGCTGCGCTGGCAAATGACGAGCTACGCTACGTCACTGCTCCTTCTGCTGGCTCTGGCCGAGGCCGGCGCCCCCAAATGCAAACTGTGGGAATTCGCATGCAACAACGGCCGATGCATCCCCCTTAATAGGTTCTGTAACATCGTTGACGATTGTGGAGACTCGTCTGACGAACCGAGATACTGCACACGTGAGTATTATAAAACTAGCGGGGTGACCACCGGTCACCTAACACGCTACTTATACATCAATCAAAGAAATTAATGCACGATCTTTACAAAAATCATTTTATGCACATAACTCGTTTGTTACAGATGATAAAAAACACAAATTAATCACTATCCTTGATACTTTCTTGCAATATTTCTTATTTTACTATATTGTGGGTTGAATAATCTTGAAATTGCAGCGCGTACAAATGGCCTCTAATTACATCACAAACAAAAGTCTGACGTCAAAATTAAAACAGTCTGTAAAATTGTGGGCCCTCAATTTTTTTCGCCTGTGAAACCCAGCAATAATACCTTTCATGATTCTTTAAGATGACATCATTAAAGTGGGATTTATCAACTTGCTGTTGACGTTGAAGATCAGTTGCAGTTGCTGTTCCCGATAACATTGCTTCTATAGCTGAAAATTGTCATTTATAAACTCCGTTGTCGTTGATATTAACTTTGATGTTCAACCTTAGCCTTTTAAAGGGGTTGTAGAAGAAAAGTGAAGGATTTAAGTTGATTACTACAAAAATTTACCACTTTAGACATGTTTACAGTCAAAATATAAGCCCCGCCCACCCGCCCTATCTCAATTGTGATGACTTTTTTTTTAATCGTCGAGAGCCACAGGGGCGGAATTTAATTGCAAAATCCTTAGTATTTCTCAACAAGAAATTATCACGTAAGAGATGTTTTTGAGTATTGTGTTATTCAAAGAATACAATGTATACAGCCTCTTATTGAAAGGTACGTACAAAATAAAATCGGCAATTCGTCTCCAAGCATGGGTGCTAAAAGTTAAAAGTGTTCTCCTTTTAGAGATAAAAATTATTAAAATTTATGTCGAAATTCGTTGTACGCCTCTGATAAAAAGATCATCTTTCGTTTCTATAGCAACATTTAATCTTGACAAAAGTTTTATTGTTACAGTTGCTAGGATTTACTAAAAAAAAATTAATTTTACCTATTTATCCTTCAGTAGCGTCTAAAAAGATTGGATAAGGGTTAATTTTCCCCTTAAAATTTTGATAAGACAAAATAAGTTTTCCCGACTTCTTAGACTTGGCGAATAACTGTCCATTTTGTTGTACGTACCTTTCAATAACACCCTGTATTAAGAAAAAATTAAAGCCAAAGATTAAGCCCCACCCATTCCTGCCCTGATCCAAATAGTAATGAAGATTTCATTCGTTGGCAGACCTAGGGGCGGAGCCTAATTGCAAAATCCATATTTCCTTACAAAAATTTACCATTTGGTGGGTGGGTGGGGTCAATACTTCGCCTTTTTTTCTTAATGTACATAGTACAACACGATACTCAAAAACATGTTTCTAATTTTTTGTAAAGAAACAAGTATTTTGCAGTTAAGTTCTGCCCCCTTGATTAACGGCGAATAGAAAAAAATCATCACAATTGAGATAGGGCGGATGGGTGGGTTTACATTTTGTCTTCTTTTCACAACATGAAACTTAAAACATGTCTAAAACGGAAAATTTGTGTAAGGAAATTCGATTTGGCAATTAGGCTCCGCCCCATAATATCAACAGCCATATCGGAATATTCTAGTGAGAAGCTTCGTGCAGGTGGAGTATTAATTGCATTCAATAAAAAGTTTAAATGTGTCAGTGCTTATCTTACTCAAAAGGTAGAAAGTGTTTTTGTAAAGATAAATTTCAATAATTATAATTTAATTGTGGGTGGAGTTTATATTCCTCCATCATCAGATGTTAGTACCTATCAAAATAATCATTGCTCTGATTTAGAAAAAAATTTTCAATTGTTTCCGGATTTTGATTATTTAATTGCTGGTGATTTCAATCTTCCACATATAACTTGGGAAGATAACATGGTAGAATTCGTATCAATGAATTATCCTCATGACCAGTATCAAATTATTAATGATACTTACTCTTTTTTGAATCTTAAACAGGTCAATACTATTCCTAACAACAGAAATGTTTTTCTAGATCTTGTTTTTACTAATATATTTAATCTGCAAGTTACAACTGCCGTTGATCAGATTTTTGGCGAAAGTTTTCCTCACATTCCATATTCTTGGTTCGTTAGTTGTTTTCCTATATCTGAAACTGTTAAATCAGAGAGTCAAATATTTGATTTTCAGAATGGTAATTATTATATCTTGCGTCGATTGATTGGGATTTTGCGTTCTCTGGTGTCGATTTGAATGAAAAGGTTACAACATTTTATAATTTCCTCTATGTAGGGATGGATGAATTCATTCCCAAAAAAACTGTTAACCATAATTGTTCGTCTTACCCTCAATGGTTTAATAAAGATTTAATTGAATTGTGTAAAAAGAAAAAAGTTTATCATTGTCGTTTTAAAAAGTCAAGTAATTTTGAAGACTAGGCACCTATCTTTTAAATATTTAAGATCTCAGTGCAAAGATGTCAGTAATAAACTGTATACTTCTTATATTAATAATGTCAACAATAGTTTATCAGATAATCCGAAATATTTCTGGAAATACATTAATAATAAAAGAAAAGTCGGTGGGGTATCGAATGAAATGACTTTTAATCAAGATATTGCTCAAGGTGGTTCTGAAATTTTTGAATTATTTGCCAGTTTCTTTTCGTCAGTTTTTGTGGATGATGACAATAACCCTCTTTTTTATGATACTATAGATCATTCAGTAATGGTTAATGACTCAGGTCTAAAAGTTAGTGTCTCTGATATTTTTGAATGTATTTCTCATCTTAAACCTTCGAATTCTTTTGGTCCAGATGGTGTTCCAAATAATGTTTTGAAACAGTGTATTTTTACAATAACACAACCGTTATTTTTATTATTTAAAACATCTTTAGAAGAAGGAGCTTTTCCCTCTTTTTGGAAAAGTAGTTTTGTTGAAACTTATAGGGGGTTGAGCATTCAATCTTCGATACCAAAAATTTTAGGTTGTATTGTATCCAAACAATTACAATGGGTCTCTTCTAGCATTATTTCAAATAAACAACATGGATTTATTAAAAGCAGATCTACTTTAACGAATTTAATAGAATATTCCTGCTACCTTAACGAAGCCTTTGCTCAAAAATTACAAGTTGACGCAGTATATATGGATTTTTCAAAGGCATTTGACAAAGTGAGTCATAGAATCTTAACATATAAATTAAATAACATGGGATTTGCTCCTAGCACTATTAATTGGTCGGCGTCATTTTTAGTGGACAGATCGCAACAAGTAAGGATTGGTTCTTACTTATTTTGTATCATCTGGTGTCCCTCAAGGGTCGCATTGTGGACCTATTTTGTTTATTTGTTTATTAATGATTTAATTTCTCGTTTTCGTTTTTTAGAATCTTTGTTATTTGCCGATGACTTGAAATTGTTTAAAACTATTAGTTCCTTAATTGATGCGTTGGAGTTGCAATATGATCTGAATATTTTATTTGACTGGACCATCAATAATTTATTACCTCTAAATATTGATAAATGCTATGTTATTTCTTTTCTTAATATTTCATCGAAAGTTAACTTTAATTATCATCTGGGTAAATCTGTGTTTGTTCCTGTTAGTGAAATCAAGGATTTGAGTGTTATCTTCGATTCAAAACTTACTTTTAAAAGCCATTATAACCGCGTATGTAATAAAGCTAACAGCATGTTAGGTCTAATCTGGAGACACTGTCAACGTTTTTCTGTGGGAACTCTTAAAATTCTGTTTACTTCTTTGGTGCTCTCAGCTAACGTACTGTTCACCTGCATGGCATCCATATTTTAAAATTGACATTGCATTTTTGGAATCAGTACAGGAAAAATTTCTAAGATTGCTTGAATTCAAACTCAACCGTCCTCATGTCAGAGGTGATTATTCCTGGATAAGAAATCAATTTAATTTGCAATCTCTGGAATGTTATCGAAAATTTTCAGACATTTGTTTCCTTCATGGTCTTGTGAATGGTGACATTAATAACGCAAAGTTGCTAGTAAAAATGACATTTTTAGTATACCCTAAGAATATACGTATAACACGGAGTAGGACAACGTTTAGAATTTCAACTTCTTCGACGCTGTTGGCACAGAATCATCCTATTTTACGTATGATGGCTTTATCAAATTTTCTTGTCGACACTTACAATTTAAATTTATTTGGTAACAACAAGTGCAGATTCAAAAGCAAACTGAAGGCCATATTAATGTCTTGATGCTAGAAGAATGATTTATTTCTTTATTTTGTATTTTTTTATTTAATTATAATCATTATTTAAATATTAGTAATATTCCCTATTCAGGTATAGTTAAGTGATAATTAATTTACTTTTGTTTGTTTTCGAAATTGGTGTTAGGTATCTTTGTTATAATGTTTAAGTTTTTCCACTGTGTTAGTATATTGACATGTTCTATTTTGTAAAAGGGTTTTCCTGTTTATTAATAAATTAAATAAAATAAAATATTTCCTTGCAAAAATGTACCATTTTAACCATGTTCTAGGTCTCTTGTTGTGAAAAGATGGCTATGTATATTAAGAAAAAAAAAGGTCAAATATAAGCCCCGCCCACCCGCCCTATCTTAATTCTGATGATTTTTTTTTATTCTTCGTAAACCGAGGGACGGAGCTTAATTGTAAAATCGTTATTTTTCTACGAGGAATTACCATGTGAAATATGTTCTTAAGTAATCGTATTATACAAAGAAAACTAAATGTATTAATTAAAAAAGAAAACCAAAATAGAAGCCCGACCCATCCATTTCGATCTCAATCGTGATGAATTTTTCATTCGTTGTTAGACCGAGGGGCGGAGCGTAATTCCAAAATCGATATTTCCCTATACAAACTTACCGTTTTAAACATGTTTTAAGTTTCTTGTTGTGAAAAGATGACTACACATATTAAGAAAAAACAGCAAAATGTAATCCTTGCCCATCCGCTCTGTCTCAATTGTGGTCATTTTTTATTTCGTGAGCCAAAGGGGCGGAACTTGATTGCAAAATCCTTATTTCTCTACAAGGA